CACCATCTATGAATTCCTTTAAATTCCTTGACTATGCTCCCCCCACCTCTAATTTTAGTGGTGTTCTTGCCTCTACTCCCTCCCTTGATCTGGCAAAAGTCAAGAGGTTTATTGGGTTTTTTTGTGCTGATGCAGACTTGCTTTTGACATTTTGTGACACTGCCATTGAATCTAGTTCCTCCAATTCCTACTTACTTGATGAATAACAAAAATTACCAAGGCTCATCAGTCTTTAGATAACCATACCATAAAGCATTTTTGTAGGCTGCCTCTTAAATTCAGTCAGGCTTTCTTTCCCCACAGAACTCTCTTAAAAAGGTAATCCAGAGCTTTATTCCTCTGGTGGTTGGAAACCATCCCTTTTCCAGCCTGTATTTATTTGGGGTCAGTATGCGCCTGTGTTTTCATTACTCAGTTTGCACTTTAGTGTAACCCATATGCATTTGCAGAGAGCGATCGTGTTCCCCTTTGGCCTTCATTTTGAAAAGTTAAGCAAGCCATCCTCTTTAGTCTCCTGTCCTTAGGTAGACTTTGTGGTCACCTAATCACTATGAAAGACGATACTTGTCCCTGAAGATAGCTGTTGTTTCTCAGTTAACATATGTTTATAAAATTCAGCATAATAAGGGCAGATTTACACCTACATTAATCCAGGATGTCTATGACAGAAATGTTCTCTTTTTTCCTTTGGAGCAAGAGCATGTTTAAAATATCCTTTGAGTTTATTAATACTCTGCAGTAGATGAAATGCAGTGCTAGAGGAAAAAAGGTTTTGCTGACATTGAATTCAACGTATAAGTCAGTGATTATATGTAGATTAGCACCTTGGTACGTTTTGCTGTTGCTCTACTGCACGCTGCTGTGGTTCTGTAATCAGTAATTGCCATGTCTGTGACTCACTTGGTCTTTTCTAGTAATCAGTAAAGTGAGGAGGTGATATTCAGCAAGGAGGCTGCTGCAGGGACTTCAGACTCAGGCACTGCAGATTTTCTGTTGCTCTACAGCAAATTGCTCCCAAGCTGCATTTGGGCCAAGTGCTTTGACAATTCAGAAAGCCTTGGAACCCGCCGCTGATTTCGGGATTAATGACAGTGGAATACAGCGCGTCCCCGAGCAAGGGTGAGGTTTGGCACTTGCTGTGCAGGGCTCCGAATGCAACTGAGGAGAGCGTCTGTCTCTTTGCTGTTGTATCATAAATCAAGGAGGGGAGATGCAAACTGAGTTACAGCCAAGAGCCTGCTTCCATTTGCTTTCAAGATGTACAGACAATGGGACTGAAAGCCACTTTGAGAGCTAAATTCAGAACTAGTCTAATGGCTCCATTTTCTAGATTAGCTCATGACCTAGGAAAGTGTGAGATGTTAAATGTAAGAACAAATCTAAACTTGCTCTGCATTTAATAAAACATTTGTTTTGCTCTCTATTGTATGGTGCTGGAACAGATAGAAGAGCAGGCTAGAGGGAGCCTTGTTGCAGCTGGGTTTTTTTCTACCAGTTTCTTCTTACAATTCTGGTATTCACAATCATCATTAATTCAGCAGATATATTAAATCACGGGATAAATTGCAGCAGCTAATACAATACAAAGGGGAAAAAAGTGCAGTAAGAGCAGTAAAAACTGTAATGCACCTTTCACTTGACAAGCCCTCAGATATTTTGAGGAGACATACGGAAAAAAAGTATTTTGCAGGTTGTCAGGATGACAGCAGGCTGAATGGTACAGTCATTGTGTTTAATTAAATGTAGTATGCCTCACTTACCTTAATAAATCACACCTTAATAAGTAAGTTATTTCCAGGGTTTTCCAGGATTGGCTACACAGGCTACACAGCACAAGGTTCTGCCGCTGTTTTGTAACAGGTATGAAGCCAGGGTAATTTAATTTTACAGCAGAAGTACTGTTTGTGGAGTTAGATCTTATAAAACACAAATCAGAGCGGTAAAAGGCAGATTGTGGAAATGTGCTGCTTGCTGTGGGTACTGCTGAGACAGTTCCTAATGACATCAGGACCAGGACCTTGGTGGTGTTGGTCTGGAAGACGCAACCCGCCCTCGCAAGCTGGTGGCCCCAGCCACTGCATGGCTGCCCAGTGCGGCAGCGCAGCTCCCTGATCTGACTGCAAACAGACTCAACCAAAACCAAATCATTCTGTGAGTTCTATATTAGAGGATTTTGTACTGTAATTTAAAATATATGATGAGGAATAGAGTGATTATGATAAAATATGTTCGCAGTGCCTAAAACAGGTATGTCTTCTAATCACTTTGTTAACTCATATTAAATCTTTCCTTCTTTACTTCCTTCCCTTCCCAAATTAGATGAAAGTATGCCCATATTTCAGTGAGGTTAAAAGTCACAATTTTTACAAGTCAGTAAAAATAAATTTTTAATACACTTTCACATCCTTTCTTGTTTTTCTTTTTCCCTTAAATATTTGGTCAAACTTCTATTTTGGGATAAAATCTAACATGAAATTTTAGATAGCTTCTTTTTGTTGGAGGGAACTTTTCCCCTCTTTGTTGGAAGGGGAAAGTATGGTTAGCTTGAGCCTTATGTTTAAAAAAGTAGCATAGCACTCCAAGATCATTGCAGATATTGTCATTGGTTTTGCCTCGTTCTTCCTGGGGTAAAGGCAGAAGGGCTAAATGGTGCTGGAAAGCAAGCTGATATCATTTCTGAAATATAAAAGGTATGCGGGAGATCAGAAAATGAGTCTCAAGTCTGCAGTGTTTCACAGAGTTTTTGATAAAGAGCAAAAATTTATATTCTATATTCTTCATATTATAACCTATCTATAGAATATACAGAAGAATGCATGACTGAAGAATACATTACTGTGGTCTTCATATTATAACACGCAAATACAGTATGAGAAAGGATTTTTTTCTAAGAATGTAATCATGATCCACAGCAGGAGATCTTTAAATTCCAAAATACACTATTTAACAGATGAACACCTCCTTTAAAGAACTATTTAATAGCCCATTTGGTGCCATGTGGTGCCAGTTGTTTGCTGACATCCGGACAAATTAAATTTACCATATCTTTTGTCTAGAAAAATCAGTTATCAGAGAAAGATCTCAGATGAATCTGGCATCAGCTCTTTCATTAGTCAGTATTTCATTTTCTTCCAGTAGCTGCTTCTATGTTTATTGTTATTTTTATATTCTACTCCACTTTTAATACATTTTGCTTCAAAATTTTACTTATAGGATTTGACTGTATTGAAGCCAGACTAACAGACCAGTTAGTTAGCCAAGTCATTTTTCCTCATCCAGAGGAGAAATTCTGTGGATTTGTAACATCCTGTTATTGCTGTAGTCCAGTCATAATACACCACCCAATCAGATGTTTTATTAAAAAGCTGAACTAGCAGCCCTGCAGTTTCGCATACAAGCTTTCCAGTATTTTCTTTTGTTTTCTTCTCAATGTGTCTTAAAAATGGCTTCTACTTCTTGTTGTTAGTCAGCGCTCAGAGGTATTTCAAGATCAGTTTTTCAAAGAAGAGGTTTTTTTCTGTTGTTTTTCCTTAATCTCTTTATATCATCCTAAATTCTCTCACTACATCAGGTTGCCAATCTTGGATAGAAGCTTAAATACTGAATTTTTTTGTACATCTGGTTACCGGAGTCTTTTCAGTTTGCTTTTCACAGATTTCAGGGCGTTGTATAGTGCTCTGAAACGAGATGGAAACAGAAGTTAGGCCATGTAAATGCTTTGTATACTGCATTTTGTTACGTTCTGAGAGTCTCTTATTTCATTAAGATTATTGAAATTAGCTCTTTGTAGAAAAAGTTAATGATAGTAATTAGAACACAAGTGCAATCCTTAAAATTCCACTTATACTCTGTAATCTTGTGTATGCATAATTTTTATTCTTGTATAATTCAATTATATAAAAATGACACAGGAAATGCTGCAATGAAAACTACTCTCAAAAGTCCAAAATACTAATCATCAATACCTAAAAGAACCATTGGCCTCCACCATACATACTTGTAATGGAATAGAAACACTACTTCAGAAATATTTTGACCAAAAGAAAAAATTGAAAGAAAATTAACTCAGATGTGAATGATATCCTAGTGCTTTAATGCTGAATTATAAGGTGCCTGCTTGTTTGAAGAAGATCAAAGAGCATTCAGTTTATAATGAATAATTTACTGTGTTTTTAGTGTTTCTGTTTCTAGACATCTGAAAGCATGGTACTGTAGACTTGACTATACACTGTACTTTTGTACGAATGCTTTTCTCATGTTTTTACTGATTCTTCCTTTCTTATTTATTGCTAGCCATTTACTGTAAGAGTTCAAAACCCAATATTCATTAGTTGTTTAAATAGCTTCTGACTAAGAGGAGGACTTGGAGACGTCAATTAGACTTCGATTTTGTCAGAGTGTTTATTGGTGAAAAATAATAGATAGTTTTGGGGATTGTTTTTTTTGAAAAAACCCTTTCCTTTAGCGGTACACAGGCTCTGTCAGATGCAGCATTCCTAGAGCACATAAAATTCCATAAAATGTGTTGTATGAGCGTATATTTTTAATTTAATTCTTCCTTCTTCCAGTGTTCATACAAAGCTATTGCTTTTTTACGTATAAAATCTTACGTGTGAAGATTGCAATGGTATTCCTATTTGGTATATGTAACTACCTTCATCCTATTTGGTATATACCTATATATACCTATTTATACCAGGTATATACCTGGTATATACCTATTTGGTATATGTAACTACCTTCATACAGATTTGCTAAGAGGCTTGAAAGAGACTTCTTAATCTATGTTTATGGAAGTCTCCCGTCCTGCCTTATCTGAACATTTTCCAGCATGACTAGTCACATGCAAAATTAATAATCTAGGAATATTTGTGGAATATGGAAATATAAAGATGAACCAAGCTCTAGATACAGATTTGTTTCCCATTTTGAAGAAGCTGCAGGCACCCATATACAGTAATCCTTGTTTCTCTACATTTTGTGAATTTCCTCTTTCATAGGATGGAGTTTCAGCATGGGCTCTGCCTATCAGTTCCACAGCTGGCGAGTATTTGTGATTGTCTGTGCTCTGCCCTGTGTCTCTTCTGTGGTAGCCCTCACCTTCATGCCAGAAAGTCCTCGGTTCTTGCTGGAGGTATTACTTTCAAAATTGTTTTTTGATTCCAATCAAAGTTATTTATGTGTTTATATTATAACATCATTATAACAGGCATTAAGATTGTTCAATGACTATAGCAGATATCTTAATCTGAATATGTATTTCGTTTAAATGCTTTGATCAAATGTTTAGGTTGGAAAACATGATGAAGCCTGGATGATACTCAAGCAAATCCATGACACAAACATGCGTGCTCGTGGACATCCTGAAAAAGTTTTCACAGTGAGTATTACTCTTAAAGCTGATCTCTTAGAGCATCACCCAGCTTGCCGATTGGCGAGGTCTTCAGTGCTTAAGCAATCAATATTATCATTCTATGTACTAAAGAGAAAAAAAGGCATTTGTACCCTAAATATTCTCTGTTTTTCTGAGATAATCAGTAGACTCCAGCTGTGCTCTTTTATTAAGTTTGCTTCAACTTTAATAATAACAGTAAGCACATAGTAGAAATCCAAACTAGGTGGCTCTTGTTCCTTTAAATCTTCTCAAATGATTTTTCATTTTCATTAGCTAATACAGTTATTTTTAAAACTTTATTCCCACTTCTGTTCAATATTAATCTTTCAGACATTTATATTTCTCAAAATATGTTGGAAACTTGACTCTTTCTTGTTGTTTGTTGACTTCAAGCTCTAAGGATAATGCTTGTATTTGAAATATTGCTGGATTGTTTCTATTTGGAGGAAAAATTAACAGTTCAGATGTGGGGCTTTTTTTTTTTAATATAGTCTTCTTTATCCGTGAAGATTATCTATATCTATGAAGAATATACACAATTTTGTTTCCCTGAACGCAGTTGGACCAAACAGCAGCAGGCATTTTCTTGCTCAGAAATCCAGTCTGCCTTTCCAGCCTTTCATATGTGGTGAGAACGCTGGCACTCTGCAGGAGTGTCTATGAGTAGGATTTTTTTTCCCTTCTAGAGGCTTGCTTCTTGCTCTAATGCAGATATAACTCAATTAAGAAATCCTCTTAAAGGTTCTGCATTTGCGGTAGTTTCAAGGAATGACTATCTGACTGTGTGACTTTAGTCCATTAAGACTTGCAATTTATTGCCGTACATGTAGTTTCCATTACCTGCATATAATTTATTTCAAAAAGAAGCTTAAAACTACTGTATTCAGCTTGAATTCAGGTTAGCGTATCTATCACAGTTGACCTCCATTATTTATATACCAGTGGAATACCCCTAATACCATTTAACCTAACATTATTTTATTTTCTGATATTTATGGGTAAAGGGATTTGGCTAACAGTATATAGTTAGGGTGTAATTTCCCAATTGGCTTATGCTGGCCTGAGCTGCTTTCAAAAGGAGAGTTCATGCTCCCGGTTGGTTTTTGTTTTAATTCTGCCAGAGTTGATGCTCATTGATTCACTGCACAGTCAGCCATAGCACCAACCCTGTCCACCTACAGGGTTAGTTTAGGCACAAAGAAGAAAATAGGAATGTGCTGGGAAAAGAGAGGAGGCACAGAAGATGGTGGGAAGGATCAACTATTCAAGGCAGTCTCACATCAGTTTGACATGGTCACATCCTAAACTGGGCACAGAGACGAAAACAGAGCATGTGCGCTGTGTGTATGTGTATCTCTGATTCTTGTGATCTAACAAGTCTTACTCTCTACAGTTGTTTAACTGTAACACTGACCCACGTTAAACTCAATATTTTATTTATAACTATTTTAGTTAATTTGTCGACCTTTCATACAGTTTTCTCATTGCATAAATAAGGGAAAAAACATCAGCAGTTTGGGATTTTTGCCAGTTTCTGCCAAGAGCATTGGGAAAACTCAGATCTGGATATCAAAAAGTCAAAGGATAAGAAATACTATACTGTTTGTCAAGGTTGCACATTGATTGTGGTTCCTAATGTAAGCTTATGTTAGTATGATTAGAAAATGATTACTTATCATTGTCTCCTCTTGGACAATATTAGCACTTATTAGACCCACAGTGCAAAGGACTTCTGTGTAATTTGCTTGGGATGTCCTTTTCGACTCTATTTTTAAAAATTTAAATTAGCTCTGGGTATTGTGATGCTTTGTCTCAGTAATTTATTCCTAAGCTCCCTTGCTTCATCCAGTATCATTATATGACTTATAAATGTGTTAATACTTTCCTCCAATTTGTGTCACTAGTTTGGTCAAAGAGATAATGATACTTTGTTAGTATGTTTTCTAATTCTGCTGCTGATGTAACTTTTTATCTCTTTATTATTGCTTAGTTTTAGTATGCTTTCTTTGATTCTCTTTGCTCTTTCATTGTCAGGGATTAATTGATCTTTTTTCTGCAGACTTTTTTTTTTGCAACGTCTCTTTAGTTTTCCTTTAATTTAAGGAATTTCGTATTTCTAGCTAGTACAGTGAAGTTTGTGTTTCACTGAAATAAGTAATCTTTATCATTTTTTTTCTCTCATATTTTATATACTGGAAGCTGAATTTACACTGGGACAGATGGACCACTGCCTGATTCAACAGGGCTTTTCTTATGTTAAATGACCATGAAGGTTGTCGGCTTTTTGTCCCTAAATAATGTGCAGTGTCCCTAGGTATATGATTCCCCCTAGCCTTCCCAGCGCCAAACAAGTCAGGTGTCCAGGACAACAAAAAGGCTGCATCTCAGCTTACAAGAGTTACGTTTGCTTATATGATGTGATTCAAAAAGGCATGTCATTTCTGCCATGAGGGGCAGCAAGAGAGTATGTGAGGATGTTCCTATGTCTTAAATAATCATGGATGACTCGGTTCAGTCTTTTGTATAAAATGCTCTATAAAAGCACTTTAAGAAAAGCTGAAAACCAAATGAATGATGCAGGCAGGATTGTTGCTATTGGAAGAGGTATGATGAGAAGGGTACAGGCTTTTGGTATAGTCATGGTTTGGCAAGACAGTGAGCTACAGTATTCTAGAAGTGAAAGTTAAAACCCTTTGCTGTTTTTGTTCATGAGTTGAGGCCACCAGTCCTTGAACAATGTGTATCTATGGGAGTGGTAGACTGAAAACTAGCGGTATACGATCAAGACTGCAATTCCTTGGTGCCCTAGAACCCGCTGTGATACTTCTCTGGGTGGTGGTGTCCTCATTCTGTTAGGGGAAACAGGAGACATTACTACCTTTAGAAATTCCAGCCAAAATTGAACACCTAATCTGCTGCTCTGCTCCTCTTAATATGTCAATCCCCTTCCCCATTTTATTATTTTATTTATTTTCTTTACATTCACTTTCCATTTGTCTTCTGTTTAAATAAAGTCTAGCTGAATGCACTGCATTTTGTGATACTGCTATGATCTGTGACCAGAACAAGGGCCAAAACCAAAACCGCTCTCTGATGTAAGTTTGTCAGGTCTTGACATGGTTGAAAAGATGATAAAATACATTCTCGTTCTGCAACACAGGAGATTGCAAGTGAAAATTAGCACTTTAGACAGCATTGCATTCTCTGTCACTGATGGTTCTGCATTTTTCCTAGATATATGTTTATCTCATTTCATTTGGGGTGAAGTAGGAAATTCTTCATAACAGTTATAATACACATGGTTCCAGACCATATCAGCTAACTTTTTCTCTCCTCTTTGAAAAGGATAGTTAAAATCAATATCAAATAGGCAAGGCGACTTCCCAGTCTACCACCACAAGAAATAAGAACAGAGTCTTAGTTTGTGGGATCTATTAAACATTCTAGAATTCCTTGATGTGCAGTTAATGCCTCAAGAAAATGCAAATATTTGCTGTTCTGTTTTTATTTCTAGGTTAACAGAATCAAAACTCCAAAGCAGATAGATGAGCTCATAGAAATTGAGAGTGATACAGGAACGTGGTACAGGAGGTGTTTTGTTAGAATTCGCACAGAGCTGTATGGTGTAAGTAACATCTCTGTTAGTTCTGTATTTATCGTTTTTTTAGTTAGTGTTCAGAAATGGCTTGACTGACCAAGCTCTTTACTGGTGACAGCTGCAATGCTATGGGGAATTAGGGAACCATCGTAAGATTCTCCTTTCATGACCCAGGAGAGGTATATGTGAATCGCAGAAATGCTGTTTCCAACTTCTGAGGAGGAAAATGCTGCATCAGCCCTTACACAAGTGATGGCTATTAGTTATATAGGCATATGCCCAAGCACCATGATATAATATGTGTTGGGAATGCATATTAATATATACCTATGGAAGGAGGTGGCGAGGTATGATGAGGTAAAGATGATGATGTAAAGAATTATCAGCAGGAGGTTGCAGTGGCCACATTACTTAACAAACAGTAAAGCCATGAATAAATTATGTAGATGATGTCAGTAAAACTTTTATAAGGCATTGTATCTGCACGTATTTTTAGTACGTGTCAAATGTTTTACCAGAAAACAACTTCAGAACTACTTCATTAATATAAGCTCACTGTGACTGTCCCTTCTTTTTAAAAAAAAAAGGCAAAATTACACAATAAATCTAAACCTTGTAATGAAAACTGAGAAAAGTCTTATTAATAAAAAAAAACACAAAAATGTCCAAAAATAGCTCTCCACAGCTCTGAAAAATCTGAGATCTTAAAGCTTTCCAGAGCTAAGCGGAAGTGTTGTAAACTAGGGCTTGTCACGTATTTCCAAACAAAATTATTTTGCTTGAAAAACTAGGTTTTCACTAAGAAAAAAATCCAGAAATTGTCTACATTTAAAGTTATTTGTCCAAACATGGAGTAGATGAAAATTGAAATGTTATGATTTGGCTTTGTTACTAAAACAACTCTTAAGACGTTGCAGCTTTGTTGTCTCACATCTTTGTTATTTCACTGGACTAGCGCCTGGGTTATAGAGTCTTCCTTGGTACATGATACATGCTAAAAACTCTTAGGACAGATTGCCTCTTTTCTCCAAAAGCAGGAGATGACCTTGAGAGAGAGAGAGGAAAACACCATTCTCAGTCAACTCTGCTGTGGAAATTCTGGCCTGGGGATAGTCTCAGCTTTTCCTCACATAGTTAAAGAACCAGTTTCTAGCTGTGATAGGTTCTGACAAATGGAACACTGATTTGTGTGCCCCTATTGAATTATGGAGTATAGCACGTTTAAACTTGGAGTATAGCTATGGAGTATAGCACGTTTAAGCAGTATAATACTGGGAGCTGAGAAGGAAACATTTCTGAGAGGATCCTTGTCAGGTTTATTTGTGATAGTGAATTGAAGATGCCTAGGTATCAGGAAAGTTTGAAGTAGTCTGTGGAGGTAAATTAACAGACAAAGTGAAAAGAGGCCACAAAGACACAGAACAAGCACGATCTGGTTATAGCCAGAGGTTAGTTTACTTATATCATAAGTACAGTATGACTTCAGTATCAAAGAGCTAATCTATTCTCTCTGATACCCTGTAGAAGCAAGAAAATCGGAATCCAAAAGCTTCTGTCATTTAACAGAATTGTTCAGAATATTTTTAAAATAAATGTATTTCCTAACGATTTACAGATTTGGTTGACATTTACAAGGTGTTTCAACTACCCGGTGAAGGATAATACGATCAAACTTACAGCTGTATGGTTCACCCTGTCTTTTGGGTAAGAATGCTTGAGATCCTAAACAATTTTTGGTAAACTTGGCAGACAGAGGAATCATCTGCATGCAAATCTTTGTCAGTATGATTATCTTTTTTCTTTGGAAAGGTTTTATTCAATTATCTTCCCACAAAATGTTATATTTATTGGCTAGTCTGTTTTTGGTTGCAAGCCTGATTCATTAAAAATATATGGCTTAAGACAATTGGCATCTTCTGTAGGTTAGGATCTTTGAACATTTTCATGTAGGCAATCAGCAAATATAGAAGAACTGCCTGTGTCAGTGTGCTAGGTGCTCTACTTGCTTTAACTTTTTTAAAAGTACCTATTTTAAAACAGGAGTCTTCAGGCTAGACTTGGTTTATGCAGTATTTGGAAGAAGTCCTTGGTATTGTTACCCATTGTTCCAAAACTCACTGGTGTCATTGGAGAGAGATGCTGCGGTGTCATTGGAGAGAGATGCTGCTGGAGCTTACCTGTTTGTATCTAAAGGCAATCACGCTATGTAGCCCCTTCATAAAACACACTGCCTCTTCTCTGTTATAGGGTTTCTTCCGTGACAGTCTTCACAGTTCTCCTACAGTCTCCCACTTCAAAAATAATCCACTTCCTCTGCCCAACTTCCTTACTCTAGAGAACATTGTGTAGTATGTCCTAGCCCACTTTGTTAACAGAGCTCTGTTCCTTGTTTTAGTCCAAAGACAAGGCATCAGTGATCAGACCATGAACTCCTATGCCAGATGCTAGAAAAGATTTTTTTCTTCATATCTCTTACTGTCTCCAATCTATGCAAAACTGCATTCTTTGTGTCAGGGTGCCACAGGGGCTAGCAGCAGCGAGGCGTCCCCGGAGCAGCAGGGCCAGGCCTCGCTGCCAGGGCCTGTCCTACTGCCCCATGAGGGAGCAGGGCAGCCGGGGACAACTGGGGGCAGGTCAGCACTGGGCACCTCTGTGGGGACAGGGATGGGCCAAGGCCAGGCGGTCACCCATGGGTTGGGATCGGGATCAGTGCGACTCGTGACTGGGTGGGGCTGGAGCCCGGCACCGCTGCGACGTCACTGGGGAGGCCCAGTGTTGGACTGAAATGGGGTTCTGGGCCTTGCGCAGGATGTAGAGAGGCCCTGGGCGAGGCCAGGCAGGGGTGGTGAGGGCTGTTAGTACTCTCAGGGCCCTGAGACATTGGTTTCATGCAGAAGTGAATTCCAGTCTTGATCTATTCTTTACGCATGATATTTGGAACACGTGATGGCAGATTCAACTACTGCATCAAGTAAATGGTTGAGAAAGCTGCTCTTTCTCACCTTGCACAGATTTCTGAACCCGTGAGATTTGTGACTGAATGTTTTCTGTTTTTCACAGCTACTACGGCTTGTCTGTCTGGTTTCCTGATGTCATTAAACACCTGCAGTCAGATGAGTATGCATCCCGAGTGAAACATTTTCAGAATGAGGAGGTTTCACATTTTGTCTTCAACTTCACGTTGGAAAATCAGATTCACAGCAATGGAGAATACATCAATGACAGGTCTAGAGATTTTCTAATATCCTGACTTGGCTAGAACAAATAAATGCATGTTTTAAAACATGTCCTAATAATCTAATATTTTTCTGTATTAACTATTATCAGAAGGTGGTGTTACTTTTTAGGGGAATTTATTTCTGTTCTTAATTCCTTATAACTTGATCTTGAGTTATGTTCTGGAGCATGGGGAAAATTGGCCTGTACGTTGCCTGTTGGTTCGCAGAATCACACAATAGATAGGTTTGGCAGGGACCTCTGGACATCACCTGGTCCAACCCACCTGCTGCTCAAGCCAGGTCAGCTAGAGCAGGTTGCCTAGGACTGTGTCCAGTCAGGTTTTGAATATCTGCAAGGGTGGAGACTCCACAACCTCTCTGGGCAACCTGTTCCAAAGTTCAAGCATTCTCACAGTAAATAAGTGTTTTCTTATGTTCAAATGGAATTTTCTGTGTTTCAGCTTGTGTCCACTGCCTCTCATCCTGTCACTGGGCACCACTGATAAGAATCTGGCCTCATCCTCTTTACACCCTCCCTTCAGATACTTACAAACATTCCTAAGACCCTCTCTGGGCCTTTTCTCCAGGCTAAGCAGTCCCAGTTTTTCATCATATGAGAGAGATTCTCCAGCCCCTTAAATCATCTTCGTGGCCCTTCGCTGGACTCACTCCAGTAGCTCAATGTCTTTCTTGTACCGGAGAACTCGGAAGAGTACTCCAAGTGAGGCCTCAGCAGGGCTGAGTAAAGTGGAAGAATCACTTCCCTCAGCCTGCTGGCAACAGTCTTCCTCACGTAGCCCAGGATGCTGTTGGTATTCTTTGCCTCGGGGATGCATTGCCGGCCCGTGTTCAAGTTGGTGTCCACAAGGAGCCCCAGGTTCTTCTCTGCAAAGCTGCTCTCCAACTGGTTGGCCCCCAGCCTGTACTGGTGGATGGAGTTATTCCTCCTCAGGTGCCGGACTTCACACTTCCCTTTGTTGAACTTCTTGAAGTTCCTTCCTGCCCATCTCTCCAGCCTGTCGAGGTCCCTCTGAATGGCAGCACAGCCCTCTGGGGTATCTGCCACTCCTCCCAGTTTTGTATCGTCTGTCCTTCCTAAAAAGCCTGTGTCTATCGTCGTGTGAGCTATCACACCATGTCTCTGTGATCCCACTGAGATTGTAGCCCTGTAACCGCATGCAGACTTCTGATCCCTCCGTTTTCTTTGCCATGCTGCGTGCATGAGTGTACAGGCACTTCAGAAAGGCCCCCCCGGCATGCTGACTTCCTAGAAAGGGCACAAGAGCTTTCCCCATAATAGGCCACTTAGGCACTTGCTTGTTTACCTACATGTGATTCGGATGATTCCACTTTAGCCCCGTTTTGTTGATGAAGAGGGCCCTTCTGTATACATCGCTCCAGGCCTTTTGGTTGCCAACCCTATCCGCTACTTCCTTACTGAACTGTTGGTCATTCTCTCCCTCTTCCATCATTCCCAGTTTAATGCCCTTCTAAGCAGGCTGCACAGCCTGTTGGCAAAGATACTTCTGCCCCACGTTCGTATGTGAGGACCCCTTATGCAAAACCAGGTTCTTCACATTGCTGAAGAAAGCCTGAAAAGCCCAAGTTAACACTACTTCCTTTCACAGCGGGGCTCAAAAGGTTTTCAGACCCAACGTATGCAGCATATTGCTGGGGGATGGGGAAGGATGTACTTTTATCGCTCTTACTCGTTCTTTCTTGTAGCAATTAAGACTGCTTGCGTGAAAGTGTTGAGCATTCGGAGGATCAGATCATATCACAGACAAATAAAAGATAAATATTACTGTATCAATAAAAAGCATGAACAGCTCTTAAATGGGAAACAACACATTGGCAATGCCTTTTGTATTTTTTAACTGATTCCATAAGTCTTGAGACTTTAGCTAAAATTTAACAGATAACCAGATAACTAAGGGAAAAATTAAACACAGCTGTTTTAGGTGTCTGGTTTCTCTTAAGGAATATGCAGAAGAACCATGTGAAGGGTCTCCTGGATGTTATGGTGCAAAGTAATTATTATGAATAATACTGGTGATTTTGGTAATTCAGGGTAATTCCATTTTTGATAGGAACTTGAGTTTTGAGGTTAAAGTCTTGAGTTAAAGGTTTATGCTTTGCAGACACAAATGAACAGTTATCTCATTGTTAAACTGCGTATGCCTTCCGAATTCATTTTTCTTTCCAGGAGACAGATGTTCTCCTAAAAGCAAAGAAAACTTACTGTCATTCAGTAAGTTTCAGTTGTTTTGCATTGTGTCAATCAAGATCTTATCACTTTGAACTGACAATTTTTGTAAAACAGTAAATGTAACACTAATCCACTCTAAAACCCTGATTTACTCTTTCAGATGTACAAATTTAATAAGCCTTTGATAAGCCTATTCAGTTATTTCATAGTTTCACAAAACGTTTGCCACATTAATATGCACTCTTTTGATATTCTTCCCCTACAAATGTTTCAATACTTACCCTTAGTTTTCAGTATTTCCTTCATGTTCTTTCTTCACTAGAAGATGTATCCATCAATACTCCACTTTTTACTTTGTTGCATTTCTCATGAATTTGAATTCAAATCACCTCAATAATCCATACCAGTTTTAATACAGTCACAACATATTTCCTGTCCAGAGGTAGAAAGTGCATCAGAAACACACAGGACACAGAGTCTGTCTTTTCTGTTTCCATTTACTAATCTAATTGCTAAATTCTCTTTGTTTTCTCCTGAAATTAGGCTACCTTTTTAAAAGGAAAGTGCTATATGAAAAATAATAGTGAGCTGACACTGAACTCCAGACTGATTTTAATCAGAGAGTGTCACAAATGAGAAATGATATGGTAACTAAAACTAATGGGCTGAAAACACCATTTTTATGACCAATACAAGAAGAGAATTCATTAGCTATATATTATTTTCCTATGATAATGACAATTAACTTTTGTTCTCCTTTCTCATTAAAATTTGATTCTAACAACTTTGTTAGTGAGAAAGTTTAATTCCTACTGTTTGGTAAGTAGCATATTTTGTATGTTTGTATTCCTACTATTATTCTTGTAATAGGAAAAATACTTAGCTAGTCGCACCAGGTTTAATTAGAGTAGAGCTAGATCTGTATCTGGAAGGCTTTGCCAAGCTAACTCTACTTACTCTTATATAACAATTAAAGCCCTACTTTTCAAAGTGTTGCCACTTTTGATGCAGTCTGCCAGCAAAGCTGCCCTCTTGTAGGTGTAGCTTTTCCCACATTCAAGGGAAATAAAATATATTACAAAAAGTTCTGATTTATTGCTACATCTGTGGGATTTTTTTAGCATAATGATGTTAGTTCATATGAGTACACTAGAAAAAGCTTATTGTATTAGTTTAGCCTAGTAATGTTGAACTAGAAAGTTGTTGCTAATACCATGCTTTCTCCTTGAATTTTTATGTGAATGAATTAATTGAGGGACATTCTCTGGAAGGAGGATATTCAAAAATAAGAAAAGCTAATAGCAATCATTTATGCATGTTTTATGTATGCTGTAGTTGTGATTGTATGCACAGACACAGTAGCAGCAAGCACATATTCTAATTAGATATCTAACTGTAAACTGCATGTGTAATTGTTGTGATCATGTTAAACCATTTTTTGAAAACATTTTTAAAAGCTGGGATCAATATTTCTTGGATTTGAGCTCAACACGGTGCAGAGCGTGTTCATCTGGAGAAATAAAGGTTCTTTCAAATATTCTTTCTTTCCAATGTCCAGGTACCAGCAGGTGCTTGTTTATTCCAAGAGACTAAGTTTCTGGAGCCTGAGTTCCCAGTTTACAACAGCAGTGTCAAATTACAAATAATAGTGGTTTTATAAGGATATTCCATGACATTGTTTCTGGTTGATGATTACAGACATGTAGCAACTGAAATAGTCTCTTTTTATGTCAGTTATGAAAATAAACTGTATTATTGATTATAACCAGCAGCTATGTGGGGATGCCTTTTTAATGCTTTTTCTCAAAGGCAGTATTCTAGAATGAGCCTTTAATTAATTTTATCACTGTAACTTCTTTAAGGAATCACTGTTTCTGAGGCTGAGATTTTTGAGAAAGGCACCAGGTAAAACTGTGTAGCAGAGTCATTCTGGTCTGTCACTGTTTCTGACCTCTGAAGGTAGACTGATAGAAATTATTTGTATTGGACAGGTTTATTATGATGAAGTTTAAATCAGTAACCTTTGAAGATTCCCTTTTTAAGAACTGTGTGTTTGAAGACATTACTTCACTGAACACATACTTCAGGAACTGTACTTTTGTGAATACCACCTTCTACAACACAGGTATTACAAGGAAAAAAAAGAATGTCCGTTGTTCAGCTGCATGCATTTTACTGTTGTGGTCTCATTATAATTTCTAGTTTTCTTTGTATTCCTTTGTAAGGAATACAAAGCTATAAAAAGCAACAGGAGTCAGTAATAAAATACCAGAAAAGAGAAGGGTTCGCAGAATCACCCAGAATGGTTGAGGTTGGAAGGGACCTCTGGAGATCATCTAGTCCAACTCCCCTGCTCAAGCACGGTCATCTAGAGCACGTAGCACAGGATCGCGTCCAGGCGGGTTTTGAGTATCTCCAGAGAAGGAGACTCCACAGCCTCTCTGGGCAACCTGTTCCAGTGCTCTGTCACCGTCACAATAAAGAAGTTTGTCCTCATATTCAAACTGAACTTCCTATGTTTCAGTTGTGCCTGCTGCCTCCTGTCCTGTCACATCCCCGTTGGAGACACTGCAAGGCTAAAATTGATTCAGATAACGAATATCTCTTTGGTTTTGGTCATCTCTAAAGAGTTTCAGTCTGGAGAGGAGAAGATATGTTTACTAATTTACTGGTTGCTCCAATTAGCTGTATTTTCTGTTTTGTCTAAATGGGACAGGTGAAGTACATTGTCCTGTTGTGCTTATTGTGGAAAGGGGATCTAAGCTCAGGATTCAAACTACTTTATCTTTAATCATTCCCAGTCTACTAAGTATTCTACCAACAATAGGAACACATATTTTCATATGTATGAAGAGAGTAAACACATTTTTTTTCTTTTCAATACAATGTAAATGAAAGTAGCTTAGAGCCAACTAAGGTTATAGCTGGAAGAATGCAGCACTCCTTACTGCTTTCCTGCCACTCCAGGAATCATATTAGTAATAGGGTCAGGTTTCAGAACAAGCAATGCCCAGCCTTCGTTGCCTGTAAGGAAGGCATTCTTCATTCAGGGTTTTAAGGCTGACAGGAACAGTAGAAAGGAAGGGGAAGTATAAGGAGAGATCTCTAAAATGGTATATGGAGAAGAGTGGCCTGAACTGTTGCATGTAGTAACACATCCATTTGCTTGTTCGATAATGAATACGTGATAATGTCACCACATCAACACTGAATTTTACAGTGGTGGCAATCTGATTTCAGAAGCCAGCAGGATCTGACTGATAACTTTTGAAACGATAACTGGATGCAAAACTATAAAAACTGGAGCAGTCAGAAATATATGTGATCATCTGTATCTCATTTAGAAATATTAAGACAGACACAATTACAGAGCTCACAATTAGCAAAATGTTTAATAATCAAAAAACTAATTGCCTCTCTAAGCACTGGGAGTGATCCGTTTTGTAGAGTCATCTTTTCAGGGTAGAACTGAGCTGAAGATCAAGTGTTCTGCTCAAAAATGAAAATGAGTTTACTCCGAATGCCCTATGATCATTCGCCTTTAACAGCAGTCCGCACAAACTGAGCGTGATTGGCAATCTTAGCTGAAAGGATACCTGGTATGGAAATAGTAGGTTTGACACTGAGCAAAACTGAGGAACGTTGGCAGTGCTCAGTGGTAGAAACTTGCAAATATCCCATGCTTTCTAGACAAAACTAGCCTTTGCGGATAGGACTTAACCAAATGAAGTGCAAGCAGAAATGAAGTGCATTAATGTAATTTGTCTGCTTCAAGGCTCTAGTTCCTTACTTTTATGAGCTCTGCATATTTTTCTATTAAGATAGAAAGCTGTCAAAATTAACAGCTGTAATTAGTTCTGTTTTAGGAAGCAGTATAAGTTCCTAGTTATCATTAAGGTTGTCTAAGCTGCAGTGTTTTTAATCAAAAACCACACAAAGTCAAGTGTTAGCTGATTTTTTTCTTTTTCTTGTTTCCACAGATCTTGAGCAATATAAATTTGTTGACAGTGAATTTATAAATTGCACATTTTTCCATATCAGGACAGGATGCCAGATCTCTTTTGATGATGACTACAGTGCCTACTGGATTTACTTTGTTAATTTCCTGGGAACTTTGGCAGTGTTACCAGGAAACATTGTGTCTGCTCTTCTGATGGACAGAATTGGACGTTTGACAATGCTAGGTACAAACTTCACATTAAAATAGGAAACAAAAACAAAACCTAAAGCTATCCTGATAGCGTAACATTTTCTCTTTTTAAAGGATTTAATTCAGAGAAGTAAGGAAAAAAAATCCTTCTAAAGATATTGCTTTATGTGGTATTCTAAGTGCCCTTTTAGAAAGCTCCCGATTCAGAAAGTCTGGGAACAAAGAGGTCTATAACCAGTTCTACTGTGCCACATTATCAGTCATTATTCTTCCACACTGGTGTTATGAGACTGTAATTTAGGCATTTGGGATGAGATTTTTGAATGGTGCTGACCGCTGGCTTGTCTTTGCTCTAGCTGAAAGGAGAGCAACATATACGCAGGTCATCATTGGCTAGTGGAGCAGCTCCTGGCCATGACCTAGTGAGCGGTCCTTAGCCTGTTAGCCATTTTGAAAAGTTATATAGCTGAAAGATATCTACTGCAGAATATCTCCAATGACAAGTCTGTTTTCATTTTACTTACATAACTATGTTGTAGTTTATTATTTTCTAGGAGCATATTTATATATAAATGCAATTCCTACTCATGCTACAAGATATGAGTGAGTTTCGTTTAATTGCAGGAGATGATAAACAATGAAGAATGGGGGTAGTTTTCCCTAGATGACTTGTTTTGGGAGTTCAGAGGGGGTTCCAGTTTAATACTTTATATTAATACTTTAATAAGTATTAATAATACTTAAAAATATTAATAATACTTTTAAAATAAGTTAATATAGGTTTTATATAAGTTTATATTAAAAAGTTTTATATAAGTTTTATATAAGTTTAAAGTTTTAATACTCTATATCCTAATATTTAAGAGTTACACTCTCAGTTTTTTCCCTGAGCCCCTTAAAACTTTTGTCTGCCAGACTGGTCTAGCCAACAAAGGATATCTCTTTAGTCTTTAACTCAGAACATATGGATCAGTTATCCACACACACTATATGAATAGAAATATTAGACAAACAAAGATTATTCTTTAAATACAGCTCCACTTAGTGTATGTTTCGTCTGTCACATATATAGGTGGTTCTATGGTTCTTTCTGGCATAAGCTGTTTTTTCCTGTGGTTTGGGACCAGCGAATCCATGATGATAGGTATGCTTTGCCTCTACAATGGTCTCACTATCTCAGCGTGGAACTCCCTTGATGTCATTACTGTGGAACTGTATCCTACAGACAGAAGGTAAGTGCAGATGTATCTTTGTTAACCTTGCTGGGTCCATCTCTATGTACCAACAGAAATGGTATGCAGAAATGGTTAAATATGAGCTTTACAGCAGTGTTGCTATTTTGAGTTGGCCAAACACAGTTTGTCTTATGAATAGCAAGGGAAAAAGAAGATTTTTTGAGCTATTTGATATTTTGCATCAAATATCACCTCGTCAGGAAAATACTATAAATGTAGTTTCATGTGAAATGTGAAGGTGTGACTGCTACTTTTGTTTAAAATACTGCTTATCAATAGTATTTCTGAAAACATTAATGGTACCACTCTGGGTTTCCCCTAGTGCAGCTAGCTATGAAGTCAGCATTTGGTCCAAAATAGCAATATTGCTGCATTAGTCTGTTGATTATGAAATGGTGTGGGGATGATAATAAAAATTACAGGCTGGAGCTGAACAGCATCTTCTGCAAAAGACTGTGAGTTTAAGCCATGCTGAGGTGTTAATCTGCATGCTAAGGATTTGTAGGCAAGGTCAATAGCAGTCTGTACGTTCTCATCATTAATCACATACAAGAATGTCTAGGGCACTTACCTCCGACCCTTAAGGCTCATGGAGAAAGGACTAAGGACAGTTGTCATGTCCTGCAAGCACTGCTGCTAGAAGGGAATTTTTCCTTTAGTGTTGAGGTATAGGATACTCTTTAATGTTGATCTGCTGACATTGAAGGGACTGAAGGAAGAACAGACTTGTACAATCATACACTGTAATATGTCAAGGGTAAAAACATAAAAGTCTCATTTTACTGAATAGACTGGGATATTTTTTCTTTTTTTTCTCCTTAAAAAATAAGTTATATGCAAGCTTGCACAGATTCCTGCCAATATGTGGAGTGTCTGTTCTCTTATCACAATACTATTTGTTATGTCATTCAGTAAAGGTTTCAAACACAGTGGAAAAAAAAATCCAGAAGTTTATGAATGCTTAATGCCTTGCTGGCAGTTCTCTTTTGGGACACAAGATGCATCTGGCTGTAGAGGTGTTCGTTAGGAGAAAGGAGACTGTAGACTGAGTTGAATATTCACCTCTGTTTTCTTTTCATTGGTATTTTATTTTAATTTATGCTTCTTTACACAAGAAATTAATCTCTATTGTTGTGATTATGTCCAAATAGCCGTACTGTGCTACTCATGAATGCAAAGCACTAAGTTTTTCTAGACTTCTGTTTTTATTACACCTCAGGAAATTTCTCTTCTGGTGATAATTATTCCATCAGCCAAGCTTTATGGTACAATTTTAATAAACAGCCTTTATAAATAGATATTTTCTTGGCATTCATGAATGTAATAGGTATAAATATTTTCTTAAAAGGAAATAGAGAAAAATAATTGTAGTAAAACCCATTTATTTTAAAGGAAGAAAACATAATCATAATTGCTAGGAATGATAAAAAGAACCTCACTGATACCTCTTCTAGGGCATCTGTGTTTGGAGCTAATAGTTGTTGTATAGAAGGTTCCGCTAGCGTTGAGATTGGAGCAAAGTTTTTCCCCATTTTCTTTTTTAAAAGTTTATGCATGCAATAATAGCTGTATGAAATCCCGCTGTAAATATTTACTTCCAGATGTGGGATTTTTTTTGAAACAACTCACATACATAGAAAATATATCATTTTATATTATCCGTATTAAAAGGCTAATAGGCCAATCTACCTGTCTCAGAAAAGGCATTGCTGATATATAGTGAAGGTGAGATTTTTCCCCACAATTCTGGTCCCTCCATTACCTTTTTTTTTGTCTGCTGGGTTGTAAGGAAATGAGAAGTTTTGGAAGTCTCTTCCTAGCTTTTTAGACTGGGGCAAGGCTGTCCCTGTGTTTCATAAAACTGCAGGGACTCAGAGCCTGTTTTCCACAGTTCTTTCTCTGATATTTTTTATCCAGGCTGGCTGCGGTTTTAACGGCCTCCATTACGCACCTCTAATGATCCTATCTGCCCTTCTAAGACTACTTTGATCTTCATTACCTAGTGTGACTTGTCACAGTTTACCAGGAATTTCCAGGTGTTGCAGGTGGCCCCAGGACCAGGCAGCCTTTCCAGGCGTATGTGGTGCACGGAGCTGCCTGATCTGTTACGCATACAGGGTCCTGCACACTCAAGAGGATGTGCTTGGCTTTTGCTTTAAAAATGCACTTTCAGACTTGCTGGCTGAATCGACAGTGAATGTGGTCCTGAAAGTGGCTTCCACTTTTCCCTTAAAAGTCAGTCTAGATGCAACCATTTTGTTCACTGTATCACTGTTTTACTACTCTGCTCTGTACTCTTTCCTTGCTCCCAGCTAGTGCAATGACTAGAAAGCAGCAGCAAAGGGCAGCTGGAGGTGGGGCTGGGAGAAGAGAGTGTGGAAGGAGGCTAGCGAAATGCTCACATGTATGAGAGACAGGAGGTGGCAACACCTCCTTTTCTTCCAGCATGACTCCTCTTGGAAACTAGCCAGTTGCCAAACTGCTGGGGATTTGTCAGTGTCATGCAGGGTAATACAAAAGGTGTTTCATAAATTGTACTCCAGCTCATTTATGAAAGACCATGTTGGCTTTCTGCCAGGTAGGGGTGTGGTGAGCAGTTTGGAAGCTTTCAGCGTATATGATACGCAGGACACATTTCATTTTTCTTTTCATCTACCCATAGGGCAGAGTTAAGGTTGTTTCAGAATCTTCCTAGATTGGGATTCTGTATGCTTTCAAACTTAACAATGAATTTATGGTTTAATTTACAATTTAGTGCCCGGGTTTGAGGTAATTAAGTAGTTAGTCCTAAATTCCTGATAAGTACTTTCAAATTTTATGCCATTGTAACATAGCTTTTGTCTGGATATTCTTTATAAAACTTCCGTAGATATGCGCAACTGCTAAAATAAGATGTTAGAGACTGTGAGATGTCAAGTGTTTTTCAGGTAGATGAAGAAGTTATGTTAAAAGATAGAAGGTGTATTACAAATCCTAGTCATAGGGAGGTTTATCTTTTCCAGATGACCCACACAGAGGTAATGAAAAATCGTTTCATAATATTAATTTATTTTTACTTTTCAAAGCACGAACTTTAAAGGACACCAGTAATGATAAGCTGTGAATTAGCTAATTTCTAATAAACAAGAAAGTTAATCCAGCTCTGCAGTATAAAGCAGTTGTTTTACCTCATCTTTTCACTCATTTCCTTCATGGCCTGTGTTATTCTGGATTGCTCAGCAGCTTCTGAAAAGTCTTTGGTCAGTCATGACCAACTGGACAGCCAAGCTAAACTGTTCAATAGCTATGGAAGCTCTGCTTTATAGGAGAGTTGTTAAACTTCTCATAAGCATTTTTGGATGCTCCTAGAGTGATTTCTTACTCTTTCATAAACCTAGTGTATTTTCTGAACACTGCCTTGAATGAGGTGAGGTAGAACTTGAGGCACAGAGGAGAAAGATAATATTGTTAAAAATGACTTTAGGTGCCTGATTTGGCAGATATGGGGCCTGGGTTTCAGCTACTGAGCATTTTACAGGAGGAAATGGGCTGAAAGTATAACTTCCACTGTAGCTATGAGTGCTCTGCCCTTCAGCAACTCAAATCTGAAAGTGCTAAGCTGAGCACCCAGAAAATGTGAAACACATACTTAATGAACACTTAATTTGGCTTAAATGACTTGCCTAGCATCATACAGATATTCTGTGACGGGGCAGAGATTATTCATTTCTCTTGACAGCGTTCAACTACCTTAACCACGAGCCTCTGCTTTCTCATCGTGCAGTCCCCAACCCCAATGACAGTGCACCTTCCAACTTCTGCAACAGATGAGGCAAAGCAAGTTTCCTTCACTATATAACTTTTATCCCTCAAGCTGCCTTTGTTCTGTGCACTGGCACAATGATGTGGAAAAAAATGCCGTGTGATGAAGTAATTATAGATTGTGTTGTAATGTGTGTGCCCAAGGGGCTTGAATAACATTGCACAATTGCCTAGGTCTGCCTGTAGTACAAATATGAATGGAAGAGAGTTAAAGCTCTCCAAAGAAATAACATTTAGGGAGATTTTAATGACTTTGAAACACAGTCGTTGCACTCACATGAATGATAAATGTTGTCTTGTGAACTAGCTTGGGAAGCACCAAGATTGTAAGTCAGGACTTGTTAAGGAGTGGGCACAACAAGTAAGCCAAACCTAAACGGATACTGGAATACAATAAGTCACCTCCTTCTATTTCCTGCAGAGTAAATCAAGGTCAGATTGCATCAAGTAACCAACAATTCATCAGTTTTACTAGGACTGCCAGACATCTGCTTTTGAATCTTGGCCGGGAATATTTAGAATTCAAGGTGTGCTATAAAATGAAGTCTGAAATGAAAACCCGTTCTGCCTTTTTTTAATATCTCTGAAAGAACTTCATAAGGGTTTAGTCATAATTAGGAAATAAGTCACCTGTCTTCAGTTTATTATATATTTATCTTTTGCTTCACTTCTTGAGCCTTGAGAATCTCCAGCCAGATTCATAACCATTATTCACAGGATATCGTAAGTCCAACATTTTATTGCTGTGGCTGTCAGAAGAGAAATTTTCTGTTCTTTTCGGTTGTAATAGCAAAGTCATCAACTTACAGTGCACTTCCTGACTGCTATTTTCTGCTGCCATCCTGTGGATGTGGTTCAGCTGCACTTTGCTGTGATTCATATTGGTGTTTTTAAGACATGAAACTCTTCAGCTATGCAGTTTCTTTCTTCTTTCCCAGCAGAGCAGGCATTGTGAATAATGACCATTACCTTGTTCACTGAACTGAAAATAGTTTACTGTTTAGCTACTAGAGATTTTGATTTCTTACCCAGTCACACTAAAGTCTCCTAACAACTCAAAGAACATTAGGCAGATATTCTTTATTTCCTATGTATATTTTACACTTACCACCAAAATATCTGGAGGCTTTTGAAAATTCAAAGACCCTGGGATTGCTCTAGAGTCCCTCTTCTCCCTCACTGTGGTAGCATTCATC